CAGCACTTTTGATTGCTCCAAAGAAGGGTTTGCATTTATCCGAGGAGCGTGAGACGAAACGGTTAAGTGCAGCCAGCATCCCTGTGAGTTTCTGGACTTCTCGGACAGTGCGAGGGCTTCGGATATCCAGGATTGCTTTAATCTGATCTGGGTTGGCTTCGATTCCTCGCTGACTAACCAGATACCCGAGGAATTTTCCTGACTCCACTCCGAAGACGCACTTCGCTGCATTCAGCTTCAGCCCATACTCCCTGAGAGTGGAGAAGGTATCCGCCAAGTCTGTAAGATGATCACAACTCCGTTTGCTTTTTACCAGCATGTCGTCTATGTAGACCTCCATGGTGTTGCCGATCTGCTTCTTGAACATCCGATTCATCAATCTTTGGTATGTTGCCCCGGCGTTCTTCAATCCAAACGGCATCACTTTATAACAATAAACTCCCTTCGGAGTGATAAATGCCGTCTTTTCTTGATCCGGGGCATAGAGAGGGATCTGATGATATCCTGCTCGGGCATCCAGGAAGTCCATTCGTTCATATCCGGCTGTGGCATCTACCAGCTGGTCCACCTTCGGCAGGGGGTAGTCATCCTTGGGACATGCCTTGTTTAGATCTGTGAAATCCACGCAGACACGCCATTTCCCCCTTTCTTCTTTGCACATACTGTATTGGACAGCCATTCTGGGAACTGTATCTCTCGAATGGCATCGGCTCTCAGGAGTTTGTCTATTTCCTCATTGACCGCGTTGGTGTGATGCGGGGCCATACGTCGTGGCCTCTGCTTTACTGGCTTGTGAGACGGGTCAACATGCAGCCTGTGAGTAATTATCTCAGGGTCTACTCCTGTCATTTCCATTTCGTTCCAGGCGAACACGTCTGTATTCCCCTTAAGAACCTGATCATCTCCTCCTGTTCGGCTGCGGGCATCGAGGTCCCAACTAGGAAATACTTCTCTTCTTCTCCTTCAACCAAGGGCACCTTCCGGAGGTCTTCAACCGATCGTTCAGCTGGGTCTACCCGGGGGTCATCCATCCCCGGACGCCCGGACTGTAATTGCTATTTTTCCATGATCTCTTCCGGTGCTCGCCCCTTCTCCTGGCTGGACGCCCCGGCTCGGACGGCCGAATAAAAACAGTTCTTCGCAGACGCTTGGTCCCCCCGGATCTCCATGATGCCCTCTGGCGTGGCGAACTTTAACTTCTGGTGGAGAGTGGAGTGCACCGCTCCCAACGCGTGCAGCCATGTTCGCCCCATAATCACGTTGTAAGGAGAGTCCGTGTCGATCACAACAAACTCTGTGTCGATGACGAAGGGACCAGTGGCGACCGGTAATGTGATTTTCCCCACGGGCAAGGCGAAAGAGCCGTTGAACCCGATGAGGGGTGTCCTGATTTTGGTTAAGTCTTTGGGGCCAAAGCCCATCCGCTTCAAAGTCTCGAAGTACATCACCTCCGAGGAGCTCCCTGAATCTATCAAAATTCTCTTGACATCGAATTTCCCTATCTTTAGGGTCAAGACAAGGGCGTCGTTATGAGGAATCACCACGCCTGTCAAATCCGCGTCAGAGAACGTAATGCCAAGCTCACCCATCCTGGCCCTTTTACTTGATGGCCCCACATCTCCCTCGGCTACCTTTCTTGTAAAAGCTACCCTCTTGAGGTCGGATTCGAGCTCTTTGGACGTGGGGCGCTCCAGCGGACATACATGGATGACGTCTATGACGTTGTCCGGTTCCTCGGTCGGGGCAAGGGCTCGTTTCTCTTCTGGCCTAGGCTCTATGTATTCTTTCAAATGTCCGTCTCGGACCAAGCTTTCCAAGAATGACTTGAACACCCTGCAGCTCTCGGTGCGATGCCCGACATCCCGGTGATATGAACACCTAACTTTTTGATCACGGGTGGAGGGGTCGCTCTGCATCCTGGGCGGCCATTTGAAGAACGGCTCGTGTTTGATTTTATGGAGCAACCTGAAGATGGGTTCCTTGAAGACGGTGTGAACTCCTCTGGACGAACCCCCTGGATGGGGTAGCAATCCCTTTCGGGGAATATCTTCGCGCTCTTTCTCCTTTCTCTTGGATTGGAGGGCTCGGCCTTTGTTGCTTCCCATCTCGTCCTCGACCCTTGAGTACTTGTTGATCCGGGCCATCAGTTCCCCCATATCCGAGGGAGTCTTCTTGGTCAGGGATCGGTACAGGTCCGTGTCCCTCGCCAAGCCGAGCCGGAAAGATGCTGCTGCCATGACCTCCGAGCATCCCTCGACCTCATTGACCTCTTCCCAGTATCGGATGGCGTACTGGCGAAGAGTCTCGGATTCCCTCCGTCTGAGGGTCAACAATGATCCAATGTCCTTGGGGCGCTTACTCCCCGTGATGAATCGGGTTAGGAACTGCCTTGTCAATTCTTTCCAGGACCCAATACTGTTTGGGGGAAGCGTCTCGAACCACCTCATCGCAGAGTCCCCCAAGCTCATAGGGAACACCCGGCATAGAAACCGTTGGTCCGAATGATAGAGGGACATCATCTGCTTATATTGTCTGATATGGGCTTCGGGATCGGACCGCCCATCATAGGTTTTGAACCGTGGCACGACGAACTTTCTTGAGACATCCATCTCACTGATTTCCCTCGTGAAGGGTGTTTGCATGACTTCGTCCTCGGCCTCGTCCTGGACAGTCTTACCCTTTCTTCTGGAGTCTAATCGGGCTCTGAGATCTACTTCTTCCCTTACGGGATGCCTCCTGAAGTCCCTGGGTTCGTCGGTAAGCCCCTCGTTTCCTGGGCGTCGTGTAGATTGGGTTGAGTCCTCCTCGGATTCATCTCCCTTCCTCCGTCTGGATAAACCTCGCCGGAGGTCGTCCAGGGCCAATGGCCTCGCTTTCCTGGAATGGTTGTCAAGATGACATTCGCCGGCTCTGGGTCGCTTCGGGGCCCTGGAGCTTTCTGCTTTGTGATCTAGGTGGTTTCTTAGATCCTTTGTCTCCGCCTCATGGACGGGGAGTCCTCGGGAAAGGAATGAATCCCTCGACCCTCCGCCTGAGGCGGCAAACTCGTCGAGCCGGCTAAGGACGTTTACATTGTCCTTCTCCAGCTGACGTAATCTATCGCCAAATTTCTCTTCTATCACCTCTGCCAGCTGACGGGCCAAGGGGGCTGATCCTCCTGACCTGATCCCCATACTGGTTTGGGGGGTTACCCCCCTTGACCGAGTAGAGGCACTTTTAATCGTACTGGTGTGATCCCTCCCTCCGTGATGGCAGGGAGCTTGCAACTCATGACTCCTTTGGTGGGGTCCTTTCCCTTTCTATCTGGTGTTCACCATGGTCACTGTTCTTTATAGAGAAAAGATTAGGAAAACTACTCGTTTCCCACAGACGGCGCCAGATTGTGCGTGCAAGATCCTGCACAATATAAAAAATATCGGGAACAGATCTCTCCCCTGGTGAACTTTGAGTGAGCCGGTTGAGTAGCCAAACACGCTGCTTGAAACAGCCTGCAAGATACGGTGGCAACCTGGAACGGCAAAGGAAGATCCTGGGAAAGGAAGAACAATCCTGTACGTGTGAAAGGTTTTCCTGGAATAAAGAGGAACAAGTTAGAAGGGTGCCGGAGTGTGTTCCGGCGTATCCCCTCCGACGGTCTAGTCAGTCTTTGAATGAGAGAGAGGAAGAAGAAAACACTGAGAAAGTCTGTATTGTAGTAGAGAATTTGTGATTGCATACCCGCTTTGCCTTTTGGGAGGAGTATTTATACCTTAAAAGCTCATGATTGCTGTCAGTGTGGTCAGTAGGTGATCATCAGGCACAGGTAGCGTGTGTATTGATTTGATGAGGAATGTCTTCTCTAATTGACTGCTCGGGGTCCCGAGCAATCAATGCTGAGTCGTCGGGACGCCGACGGTACAATATGCTCCTTTCGGGAAGGATGCAATAAATGCTCTGTAATAGGAGCATTTATTGCCTTTCATATCCGAACTTTACCGCATTGAATGCGGTCTCGTCAACAGAAGGGTGCAATTAATTGTTTGCTTTCCCAAAGCGTGTGTCAGCAACAACATGCGGTTTGTCTGTTTTTGATGTGATATCATATGCCACGCGTCCATCACGTATTGGCTATGACTTCTGTATTCCAGTATGTTCTGACATTACTTGTGTAAGACGAGGTCATGATGAATAGTCTAGACTGGCATAGGCTGATGTCCCGTTCGTCAGTAGCTTTATCCGGGAGTAGAGGAAGCGTCCAGGATGGAGTGACCCTCGGCACCGAGGAAAGGCTCACCTCGGGGACCGAGGGTGGTATGTTCCCGAGGTACACGGGTGACCGAGGACACGTGTTGTTGTATAATACACCGAATGCGTGATCCTATATGAGAGGTACCTCGGGGGAGAGGACACTTTTTGCCGATGGTGCTTAAATCCGAGCAACACTGTTCTAGAAACCCCGAGGACACGTGTCTTCATCATAGGACTTTTCAGAAGAGTCCCATCAGATGTATACATATGGCAGAGTAGAGTTTGATAGATAGAGAGAGTGGGAGCAAATTAAGCCATGAAAGGGACCGGATTTGAGAAACTAATTGGCACTAGATTTATAAGTTGAAATTTTTAGTCGTGTGTGTGTTTGAGAGAGAGATAGACGGGGAGATAAAGAGAGCGGGGTACATGAAAGATAAGAGTCTGAAATTGTATATGGGATGAAAGATTTAATTAAATTTTTAGGCAAGAAAAAAATATTGATTAGGATAATCGGATCAACAATTTTAAAGTGATTTGAGTTACAAAAAGTTCAGACAAATAAAATTAATTATTTTATTATATGTAGATTTATAGTATATTGATTGACGATGGTTAGAATGCAATTTAAGATTAATAGACAGTTGAACTCAAAAACCTTCTCGCTTACTTTTTTTTCTTTTTTCAATCATATTCTATACTGTGAAGAAGTCGATTAAACTCGAACCTTGCATTTATGAGCAAGGTTAAAGAGATATTTATTACTGGATCAGTCCTCTTTTGCTCAGTAAAATGAGAAATAATAGCAGCCATACAATATCCAAATTTTGAAGATCCACAATGGGTAAACATAGTCCACTGATTATTCAGACACTGACAAACCAAATTACTTATCATATGAAATCAGATGTCTTATCATATCTAAATCTCTGCATTCGCAATCAAATTCTAGAAAACCATCTACAAAACTTCCAAATTCAAACTAAAATTATTCCTTGTACATCAAAGCCCAAAAGAGTAAAATTAGTAACGAAAAACAATGTAATCAGTCAATCTTCACCATTTGTCATTGTGATTCAACTGCATCAAAACGCAAGCCCCTCATCATCATAACCTTAAACTCCTCGAAACTGATCAACCCATCACCATTACAATCCACCCCACTGATCATCTTCTCGCACTCCGGCATCGAGCATTCTTCCCCGAGGCTTACCAAAACGCTCTGCAACTCCTCCGGCGATATCATCCCATTCTTATCGACGTCAAACACCGCGAAAGCGTCTTTCAAACACTCCATCACCTCGTCGGACTCGATACCTTTGGTGTTCATGGCGATGAACTCTTGCAAATCGATGAATCCATCGCCGTCGGCGTCGACCTCTTTGATGAGGCTCCGGAGCTCTTCTTCGGTGGCAGGGTAGCCGAGACTGGCCAATATGGAACCGAGCTCAGCGCAGGAGATCTTTCCGTCGCCATTGACGTCGAATTTCTTGAAGACTTGCTCCAGCTCTTCCTCGATCTGGGCACGTGATTTGAGAGACGATGATCTAGATGTTGTGGGTGCTGTTGGGTCGCATGAATCTGTGATTGGGGTTCGTTGTTTCTTCTTGCGATTGAAGAAAGATTTCAAACCCATACTAATTATCAATGTAGATAAAGAATTGATGATTGTTTCTTCTGGTTTGCCACTGGATCGATGAATGTAACAGAGGGGAAAAGGAGTAGAAAGAGAGATAGTGTGTGATATAACTATATGGAGAGAGATTATGAGAAATATATTGATGTATATGTAGATATGAGAGAGAGAGAGAGAGAAGATTTGAGGGGATTTTTGGTTGATCCTTTAATTAGGAGTCATGTGGAGGAGGTTGTTGTGTTGGTGTGGCAATGGGATGTGCGTGATTGCACGTTGAGATTAGTAAAGAGAGGCTCGTCCGTACAGTGCGAATAAATAAATAAATAACTAGAATGATTTAAATTTATTATTCGCCAAGAACGTGTTTAGTAATCCTATTAGAAATCGATGAATTAGATAAATTAATTCAGTCTAATACAATAAAAATAGATAAAATACAAGATTAAATATGGTATTAAAATAATGCGTAATTTTATCTAGTATTTAGTAGTACATGAATAGTAATTATTTAATTTGATCGATTATTTAGTTAGAAAATTACTTCATCGTATTAATGTTAAATTAAAAAAAATACCTTCAATAAGTGTTTGTTACATTGATGACAGCTTGATTTGTATTGGATTATAATATCACCTCTCTTGATGATATTAAAATACTTATATAATGCATGCCTATTATATAAAAACTATGCGATAAATATACGATTAGTATACATTTTTAAAATTATTACGGTATCAAATTTGTTTATTAAATAAAGTATTAGGCTCAATTAAATAAGAACTAATACAATTTAATATTTAATCCTCTCATAATACGTCTACCAAATAAACTCTGAATTTTTTGATGTGACTCATAATCAATCTAATGATTATAATAAATTAAGTTCAAATAACGTTATCAGGTCATTTAGTTAGTTTATCAAAAATTTGATCAATTACCGTTAATTTACTAAACTTGTAATGAACGTTAGTGGGCCTATAAAAACGTAATTGATGGAGCCAACAATACTCAAAAGATGTTTATAGAATTTGAACAAATATGGAAAAAGTACATAATAACGTTAGTGGGGCCTATAAATGGTACTCGAACAAAGTTGAAAAAAGTTAATAATTATGTTATTTGTATGTAATTGAAGACCTATTTTTGAAATTTAATAATTGAGGTTGTTAGATTAGCAATGAATTTCATTCGATACCGAGACTCACTCCAGCTAATTTTTTTATATATTTTTAGACATGACTCACCGCTAATTCAATGGAACAATATTATGGGGACTATATTTGGGAACCTAAGAGCATTCTAACCCGCAATGTCAAATGCCAAAAAGAGGCTCCAACGAATCTTTTTGGCAAGCCTTCTTTCTTCAATCGGCATATCAATTATTGACCAAGTGAAAAAAAATTTGGGATTCTCCCAAATCTCACGTTTCTCAATTGATATGTCAAATTCTTTTAATGTAATATTTTATAAAGTTACTGAGTGTTTAATGGAACAATAGATTTAAAGATAAAGATGTAATAAAATAATTCTTTTAGACATGTCGGTTGGAGTACAATGAGGTGAAGATCTCAAATAATATATATTAAATTGTCACATAAACCTTCAAATTTAAATTTGACATCTTAATTTTAGCATCTAATTCATTGAAGGCGATTAAAGTTATTATGAGTTTCAAAGTTGGGTAAAACTTACTTTTAATCAAATAGCTATATCAAGTCCTCAAATGAAGTACAAATAACATTTTTCATTACTATTTATTGAATTTTGAAATTAATTTTCCAAATTGGATCCTAATATTATTGTTCAAAGTTTAGATTAAGATTGCCCCAACTTTGCCAATGATATCTACTATTTTGTTATCAATGGAACATATATATGACAAAGTATTTTAAGGATATTTGACCGACGAGAATATTAGTTAAAGTGCGCATAAGTTGACTCTCCATTAGTTTTTTTGTTAATGTCAATGGATTGATTTTTAATGAAAAAAATAGTAAAAGTTAACAAAAATGTAATATTGTAACACTTTTGATACATTGAGGGAATAATATACAAATTTTAAATTATGAAAATGCAAAATAAAAATTTTTAAATCTTTTAAGGTATACAGTGTAAAAAATCTTAGAAAATATCGATGTTTTGAGGGGGCGGCATAAAAAATTACATAAAATTCAAATTGCACGTGAAAATGCATCGGAATTTTTAATGTCCCGACTCACTGGGATATGTTATAGCTGATAAAATTTCCTCTTTGTTCAGAGAAAGAAAAACACTTATGAGTTGTTTGGTACGTGGGTTTGAGAGGATTTTGAAACATGGGTTGGGGACTAAACCCTCTTAAATTCATGTTTGGTAATTATGAATTTAACTTAGAATTTGAAATCCGGTCCGATCATAACCCGATTATGAAACCCTTGTTCATGGTTTTCATGAAATCCATGGAGGGAGTGGATTTCGTATGTTGGTTTGGGAGTTTTACATTTAAATAACATTTATATCTCTCGTATATCTATATTCATGTTTGGATTAAATTAGTTAGGAGACATAATAGTCATTTACATACAAATATATTATCATAATAGTCATATATCCCTGCGCATAACAAACATGGTTATAGACAGCATTGAATATTGAATCCCTTCTTTAAATTCTATTTTTGGTCAAACTCAAATTTGGACAAATTAATTTAAACTCTTCCCAAAAAATATACCAAACAGGCCTCGAAACTTTCTCGTGAAAAGCGTTGGGTACTTAAAACTTTAAAAGCTTTTTTCCTTACAACGAAAAACATAATTGTGGTCAGTAGACCATAAAGCTTAATAGTCATCGTCCCACCACCGTTGAACCTGATGATCGTGAGCAAATCTTGACCGATCCATTCTCATTACTCATACACTTGTTTATAGTCTGGCAAACTGCATTCAATGTGTCCCTTCTACCAAGCTATTGTCGTTCTATCAGTCTATTGTTGCCCATCTATCTATTGATTGCTTGACCCAAATCATACGTTTGTCATTAGATTGATTTATAGGAGTAGGGTCAGATTTGTCGAATGCTTCAAGCCTTCAATCACGCCTCATTCTAGAAATGTCGATTGGTACTAGAACTCTAATTAAAATATCTAATCCCCTTCTTTTTCAACACCCTTTCCTTTGTTATTCTAGTAGAGTAGGATCATCAAGTAGAAAAATCTTGGGTAAATTGCACTTTGACCCACTAAACTATGGACTTGATTTCACTTTGTCCCTTGACCTATTAAAAATTTTACATTGCTCCCTCAACTAATTGAATTATTTTACATTATCCCAATTTCTGATTTCTTTTTGGACAAAAATTACCGACATATCAAGAAAAAGTGAAAAAAAAACTATATAATTTTGAGAACAAAATGAAATATTTTTTTAATTTAATAATTATGACAATGTGAAACATATCACATAGTTGATGGTATAATTGAAAAATATAATAGTTGAAGGGGCAATATAAAAAAGTATAATTTATCCAAAAATCATTTATCACACGTATAAGTGGTCTTATTTAAATTCATGGTGAATAATGTATACCCTATTATAATTGGGAAAAATATTTAATTGAGAGATCCCAAAATTCTAGAATATCAACGCAGTCTCGTTTGTTTCGATTAATTATAAAAACTCAACTAAATTTAGTGAATCTCTTTACTCAAATTATGGCACTCCTGACAATGTGTGGCCAAATTAGAAAATGAGATCCTCTTCTATACATTTTTTTTTTAATTTTCTTTTTAGCACATCATCCACTATGTATTCAAGTGGAATCCATTGTACACAAATGAGTCTCTCATTCATTAATGATAGATGATGTGCAAAAACAATAATTAAAGAGAAGTATAGTGATGAGGATCTAAATCCTCAAATTAGACTCTCACTCAATCAAATTTGAAGGGAACATGTTGTCCCTAACTACAAGACTCGTGCGACGTGCATAATTTACATTTTTTTAAGAAGAAGAAAAAAAGTGAAATGAAAATTAAGAAATCAGAAGATAAGTTAAAAAGAGAGTGAGAAGTTAAAGAAGTAGTGGGTGGGTGGTGAAAGTAGCGAGGGAGTGATTATACATACGTAAGAAAATAATTGGATGAAACATAGTTTTTTATTTTAAAAAATTCTAAATTTTAAAGAACCTAAGAAACGGAGAATGTGGCTTCTCGAGCCCTATTCTCTCTGAATTTTGCTATAATATAGTACAAATATAAATCTAAAATTCATGTCAGGCGAAGTTTTACTTTTAGGGAAAATTAGAATTTTACCTCTTCAATTATGATTTTTTTTTTATCTATCATTTTTTCTCATTGTATCTTTAGTTATACTGTAACACCCTGATTCTTAAGTGTCATTACTCAACTCATTGATTACTTATCAACTCTTGACATAACATGGGATATTGCATAGTTCGATAACACGATGAGATGTCTCATTCACCAGAGTCTTTAATTTAACAAAAATTTAGGCATAATCTCTCTTATACAGGAAGCTCTTCCCACTGGGCATTGTATAACCATATGACCACATTGAATCCAACATCGATATTCAGTCATTAGTGTATTGAATACCAACCTCTGCGACATACATTCATTCACAAAAAAATAATGTTAACAAGAGTCTCATTACATGTCTTTGATAAAATACTAGTTTTATACTTAAAAATATACAAAGTCAAAATATAATTATATACAAAAGACTACAAAAATCAATTTTAAGAGCCATAACTCGGCTCTATTCTCAAAGCAGGCCCAAGTGATAGCCATCAGCAGATGTCTGTCCAACACCTGAAATATACCCCCGTAAATGGTGAGTCATGCTCAATAATGTATTTCCTATGAAAATTACATCTCAATTCACATGCATATGAAATGGCATATGCAAACATCATGTCAAACATTCATTCAAATACATATATTTCATAAACGAATGCTACAATTTCATATCATTCTATGAGATAAGAACTCACACATGCAATGTAATATCGAGTTCCACCAGCTCCCATAACAAATACAATGCAATGTATATGAATTCAGGCATTCCAAGTCTCTCTGTCATTGATGTTAAACATACAATGACTATTTTATAAAAATATGTATCTTTCTAGGATAAGTGTTTTATGGACTTACACTAATGGTTACCCAACTGATACAAAATTTTAGGACTTTCACCTATGGTTACGCGTACACTGACCCATTTTATGGACTCAATATTAACAGAAGTGCATATCCGAAATTGTCGGGTCTTGCACCCGAAGAAAAATCTAGTCCTTCTTGTTAACTTTGACAGATTTTTTAATGCAAATCTATGTTACTTAGCCAAACTTAGTTCTTATTTTTCCAAGCCCACGTATCAACCTATTAAGAATGGTGTTTAATTAAAAACATGCACAGACACCCACACTTATGTCGAATACCCACAAATGTGATTCTACTCATGCTTGTGCAAATGCAATTCATGTCACCATGCTTATCATATCATAAAAATATATAATGGACATATTCATTATCATAAACATTCTCAAGCATGTCATATATGATTATAATCTAATAAACATACTTGAATTTACGTAAGCATTTTATCAAAACACGTAGAAGGTATGAAATGTAAACACATAAGTTTTATCATAATGTTAATTATATCATAGAAGCATATAACAACATTCTACCATATCATCCAATACATGTTAAATACATTGATTAATTCAATTAACATGCTTGATTCATTCATGCATTTATCAAACACCTAGGGTGCATAAAATGTAAACACATAGTACACCCAAATAATTCATTTCATCAAATCAAACCTTTTCCTACATTACCCAAATCAAACTCAAAAATGGGTTTTACAAGTTCTTACACTTATTTTCAAGCCCCTTGTTACACTAGGTGTGATCTAGCCTAAAAGATTTCATCCTTAGGGCTATACTCATTTCACATATCAATCCTAAGTTGAAAGTACACCTAGATAGAAGAGAACTCTACCTCTTGTAGCATGCGCACAAGGTAGATCGACTCTTCACAATGTCAAACGATGCTTCGTTCAATCTCTAGCCAAAACTCCAACTTCTGCAATATGTCAAAAATGGACTTGGATTAGTCCAAACTTTTTTAACAACAAAATGGGTGGAATTAGTCTCAGGTGTATATTGATACGAATTTATGTCTTTTAAAATATAAATTAATAATTTTAAATTTTAAGTGTATAAACTAAAATTAAAATTATTTATTAGAGTACAAACTGAGATTAACCTTTAGGGTTAATTACAAATTACACCTCAAAAGATTGTTCGAATTCTAATTTGTATCTCCAAAAATCTCAATTTTCACCCTCAAAGATATAAATTTGTATCAATATACACCGAAAATTAACCGCCGTCAGTTTGCTACGTAAAATTAAATTGATAAATTATACCTAAGTCCTCTCATATTTGTCACTTAATTATTTGAACATCTTCACATTTAGAATAGTACTCTTATATCTCATAACGTTTATGTACGTGTAACACGTAATCTCTTTTCGTTGATATCTTTAAAAAAACAGTTAAAAAATATGAATTTATTCTAATAAATGGAAAAATTATACCTAACCCCTTCATACTTGTCACTTAACCACTCAAGCCCCTCAAATTTGAAATATTACTCCTTCAGCAATAGAGAATCCAAATATGACTAAAAATGTTCCCTTAATTGGGCATTCAAATAGTTCTGTTTAAGTGATATATTACATTGGATATAAAAAATATTATATAAATACTTACATTCTATTAGACATTCAAATTATATACTTTATTTTGAATTTTAAAGCACATCGGACTGACAAAATAAAGGGTAATATGAAATTATAATTTTTTATTAGAATAAAATCATATTTTTTAAATATTATATTAACAGATATCAATAAAAATGAGTTACATGTGCACAAACTTCATGATGTGAGAGTAATATTCTAAATATGAATGAGTTCAAATGATTAAGTGACAAGTATGAAAGAATTTATGTATAATTTATCAATTTAGTTTTAGGTAGTAAATTAACGGCGGTTAATTTTAAGTACACATTAATACAAATTTTTATCTTTAAGGGTATAAATTAAAATTTTTGATCTTTTAAGAATATAAATTAAAATTAAAACGATCTTTTGGATATAATTTGCAATTAACCCTAACCTTCATCTCTCTCCCCCTCTCTCTCTCCCTCTCTCTCCTCACACACACAACCTCAAACCCATTATGTAAAGCAGAAAGCCCGACTTTTTCCTCAATCAAATCATCAACCGCAGAAACTCCAATACAACTCAACCCCGCATCCTTCCCACTTGGTCTTATCTCCTCTGAATTCTTAATGCAAATACATATGTAGAAAAACCAAAAGAAAAGCAGAGAGAGAGAGAGAGAGAGGCGGAGTTCAAGTCAATACCCTTCAGCTTTCTTCTTCTGTTAGCCAGGGCAGCACAGAGAGACTTCTAGTGAGAGAAACACGCCTGTAGAGAGAGACAGATACGTGAATTACAAGACCCTGAATACTTTTTCAACTCAGAATGGACTCAGAGTCACTTCGGCTGATGACCCACCAATCATTATTCTCTGCCGTTCGATCCGGTGACTTTGAATCTCTGAAACTCGTCGTAGAGAATGAAGGGTCTGATCCAGCTTCAGTCTCAGCTCTATTGCAGAAAGATGCTCGTGAGACAGCTCTGTACATCGCTGCAGAGAACAATTTCCAGGAGATCTTCAGTTATTTGCTGAAGTTTTGCGATAAAGAGATTGTGATGATCAGGTCCAAGTCTGGTATGGACCCTTTTCACGTTGCAGCTAAGCGTGGCCACTTGGGTATGCAGTTCTGCATCTCTTTGACTTGCTCTCAATCTATTTTAATCGTGCCTGAGTTATTGAATTTTTTTTTTTTGGGGGGGGGTGTGCGCGCTCGCTGGTGCTTCTGAAGGGATGTGTGTATGTATCTATAATTGCTGTTTTGAATTTGAAATTAGATTCATTTGTTCTAGTTTCCCAATTTTATGTTTCATGATAATTTTTATTTTTTTGAAAGGTTCATTGCTTAGTTTGGTCCAGTCATGGTTATGGGGGGGGGTGCTGGGAGGGTTGCTCTTTTGTGGCTTCCATGAGATTTGAACAGTTTCACAGTTAATAGATGATGAGAATTTTTGATCTTATGATTGACCTGGAGCATCTCAGTTACTATAAAACTTATAGGGGTACAGACGGAATGAGTTGGAAGGACTTGATTGGAAAATTTAAGATTTATCCTTGTAGGACTGTACCATTTTAACCTGCTCACCTTTGAGAATCTTGCTTGCCCATTTCTGTATGATGTTGTAATGGTATGCAATGCTATTGTTTAGGAATTGTCAAGGAACTTTTGGGCATGTGGCCTGAGCTTTGTAGAGTATGCGACTCCTCAAACACTAGCCCCCTTTACTCAGCAGCTGTCCAGGACCATTTGGCTGTGGTGAATGCCATATTAGAGGTAGATGCGGGCTCAATACGAATTGTGAGGAAAAATGGGAAAACTGCATTGCACACGGCTGCAAGATATGGTCTTCTTCAGATTGTGAAAGCACTTATAGACAAAGATCCAGGCATTATCGCCATTAAAGACAAGAAGGGCCAAACTGCACTGCATATGGCTGTAAAAGGTCAGGACACTTCTGTAGTTGAGGAACTACTACTTGCTGATCACTCAATACTGAATAAACGTGACAAGAAGGGTAATACGGCTGTGCATATGGCTACAAGGAAATGCCGTCCACAGGTATTTTCTTCATTGGTGTTCTTATATATGGTGGAACTACAAACTTATTCCTATTTCTACTGGTATTTTTGGTTGTCAATAATGTTTTAGTTCTTTTCTCTTCTTTTTTATTTGGACAATATTTTAAAATACTGCAAAGCTAGATGTTGAATTTACCGAAGTCATGTATACCGCAAGTCAGTGGTGTGCATCTGGCTTTATCTTCTGATTCATGAATTGAATAAAATGCTCCTTTATTTGTTTAAGGGACCTTGCATAAATCTTTGTTACCTAGTTACAAGGGACCCCCATGTCCAACTCCAGTCTACCTCCAGAAAAATTCCTGTATACTTGTTCTGTCTCCTTTTCAGTTGCAAGGTAAACTGTCAGATGGATGTTGTTTGAGTAGAGCTTGGCAAATACTGGAATTTATGCAAAAAAAATTGTTATGATAAGGAATGAGATAAATGTTCTTAACAAAATCCCAGGCTTTTACCATATTTAGTATTCCTTAGCTTGCATGAAATATCCAAAAGAACTGTTAGTATCTGTCGAATCTTCGCCTTAGCATTATGCATTCGTCTACTCGTCAATCTTTATCTCATGATCTCCGTGTCTTATTGATACAAAAAGCAGAATCACTTTTGTCCAAAGATCCAAATAGTGTCTTCACCTGAGTATCTCTTGGAGTCAACATTTGGACAGAAAATTTACACGTCTTTGGATACGAAATCTCATGCCCCCGGCCCCAAGAGAAGTTCAATTGAAAAATTCAAAAACCTAGTGAACTATGGCTGTTTTGGCACCACTTTTGGCCAGTGTCCTATCGAGATTGAATCAAGTTTCTTCCTTTTTTTGGCATGATGAGACATCTTTAATAACTGATGACTTGAGATATGCGATAATGCAAAACACTATGGACTGGTTGGAGGGATAGGTCTTGGGAAACATGTGCATTGACAGCAACAAGCCAGCAGTCATAAAAAGAAATAAATATAGGATACCAGTGATTTACCTTTGATATTCCTTTTCTACCAATGAGTTTAGGAACTCTTCAATATGTACAACAATCAGTTTGGAACTAGGGATACTAGTCTCTACTTATCTAGTGGTCACTGGCTTATTTAGAACTGAACTAAACATTAAATACTATTGGGGATCCTATTAGGGCTCATTCAGCAATGTCACAGATAATTCAAAAAGGAAAAAAGGGTTAAAAAATGATTCTGTGTGAACTTCAGTTCCAAACTGAGATTAGCAGGACTTGAGTTAGTACAACTAATTTTTTGGCATTTTATATGTAAGGTGCTTGTTGAGTTAAGACTACTGGTTACGACTGAATGCAGACTTCTCTATCCAACTGCCTTCCCCAATTTGATTTTCATAACAATGAGGTGCAAATTCTTTGACTGTAAAAGACTAACCAACACCCAAACCCAAAGTGGGAGACAAAGAATATCCCATCTGCCTTGTCCTTAAATGTACTCAAAAGCCACACAGAGATCTGTTTCCATATTTTGTTGTACCAAAATCTTCCAACTTTTTACTCCAGAGTCTACATACACTCCAAATCCACATCATGAGTTGATATGGAGGCCATGGTCATTCCTAAAATAAGGATATGCAGTTCGTGTCCTATAATGTGGGGATTACATGATTGCAATGTTACTGTGATTTGGTTGTTGCTCACCTTATTAAGGTAAGTGATGTTTATTAAAGGCTTTATTTGTTTTGATGTATATTTTGTGCATTTTGAGTATATTTACATTATTCCTCTAACCATCTAAATATCAAGCTTTCTTCCCCAATAAAAATAAGCTGGTCTCCAAAACATTTTTCCTTTTGTGAATACCACCATGGTTCTCAGTTAAGAGATTGAACATTGTCATTAATGATTGACATACACAAGAGGACACATGGTCCTCGGTTTTTTGGTGTGTGGGTGATTAGACTGACTTTCGTTTTTTTTGCTTTGGAGAAGAAGAAATGGATTACATTTTTATACAATACTCACACACTGGGAGGTGGAGGGCACGAGTCTTGAATGGTCCCATTGCCACTGGATCATCCCACATCCTCCTATCGACCTCTGATGTTGCACTTTCTCAATGATTGGCATGCTCTTGGAGATAGTTTAAGCCATCAATTGCTCTCTCGAGTTTTATGTTATGGTTTTAGTATTGTCCTTGTCACAGTGGCAATAGGTCCTGTATAACTAGGCAATGGTCTTACGATCTTCCCTGATATGATAAACATTTGAGAGATATGTCATGGAAAAGGCAAAAAATGTAATATCAATACAGATAAATTTGTGAAATTTATTAACAAATAGTGCGGGTGCCTCTGCCAATATACTCAAACAGGTTTATTATGCACTTCCACTATGACAAATTATGATAAATGCTACTGTTATTTAGTTCTTTTATTCATTATTTTGGCTCATTGATTTCATTATTGATTCTGGTGTAAACCTTTAAACTGTATATGATACATCATATTTTACTCCTTGTAATATGCATTTACTTCTGTGGTTGTTGGTCCCCGCTAGTTGTTTTTGGCTTTTTTTTTCTGATAATCTGCTTCTTCCTTTCAGATAGTAAGCCTTTTGCTGAGTTATATGGCAGTTGATGTCAATGCTATTAATAATCAGCATGAGACTGCAATGGATTTAGCAGATAAACTTCAATATGGAGTATCTGCATTGGAAATTAAGGAAGCCCTATTAGAGGCTGGTGCCAAGCATGCAAGGTATGTTGGCCAAGTGGATGCAAATATGGAACTCAAAAGGACAGTGAGTGATATAAAGCACGAGGTACAGTCACAACTGATACAAAATGAAAAAACCCAAAGACGTGTTTCTGGTATTGCCAAAGAACTTAAGAAAATTCACAGGGAAGCTGTTCAGAATACCACGAATTCTGTCACAGTTGTTGCTGTTCTATTTGCCTCCATAGCTTTCTTGGCTATATTCAACCTGCCTGGCCAATATCTTATGGTTGGAGCAGAACCAGGGAAAGCACATATAGCGAAAACTGTTGCTTTTCGAGTGTTCTGCCTTTTGAATGCTACTTCCCTCTTCATATCTCTAGCTGTTGTTGTGGTTCAGATCACTCTGGTTGCCTGGGATACTAGATCTCAGAGACAGGTTGTTTCCGTAGTAAACAAGCTAATGTGGGTTGCATGCATTACCACTTGTGGGTCATTTCTGTCGATATCTTTTGTAGTAGTGGGAAAGGGAAGCTCGTGGATGGCTATCACTATTACAGTTCTGGGAGTACCAATTCTGGTTGGAACTCTTGTTTTCTTGTGCTACTTTGTTTTCCAGCAGCACTTCAGGATTTTTGGCAGTGATTCTCAGAGACATATCAGAAGGGCCAGTGGAAGCAAATCCTTCTCATGGTTGCACTCTGTAAATATTTCAGACTATGATGAGTATGAATCTGACCGTGAGAAGATCTATGCGCTCTGAAATCATCTCACACAACTTGGAGTATGCAAAAAAAATGGATTCAAGGTGAAAGATATCGGAGTCTGGATTTTAGTCACTGATCAGCAAGAAATTGAGAATGGTACTTTGTCTCAACTCTTTCAAAAGAACACGAGAATTAAAGTGGTGGTTGATTGCACTATTTTAATTCCATGGATGGTAGATTAGGGTTGTCTGATAGTTGAATTGGGGACATGTCTTGTAAAGTTTTGTAAATTGTGTAAAGATTTCACATTCTGTTGTGTAATAATAGAGAGCTTTCCCCCACCCAAAAAAAGAAAAAAAATGATGTAATAGAGAGCTTGCTGGCTTGCTTCTAAGTTTTGGACTATTAATATATGTGAGACTATAGCAGTTTTGACTTGCTTGTATGCTCAGACCCCTCCTATTATATTTTTAGCTTGTTCAATTCTTCATATGAATCAAAGACATAGGTGTTTTAGATTGGACTCTTGTTGATGAATTTCTGATTTAACCAACACTTGTGGTTAATGGGTGATTGTAGAAATCCGAAGTTTACTATGCAGAAGATCCAATATTATTGTTAGAGATGACAATGGACCGGAGAAAAACAGGTATTTGTCTAAACTAGTTCCGTTTGGAACAAGAATAGATCATACATATTGGACGGTGGACATATATGAGAATTTTTATATAAACTTGTGAGAGGATGGAGGTAAGGATGGACTGAAACTCATTTCCTTCTCGCCTCCTGCCCCGCTAAACCTATAATATATATATATATAATTAAATAAAACACATATTTGTTACGCATATTATTTTTGTGAGTTTTTATGTTTGATCTATTTGATATATAATGAGTTTTTATTTTTCTTGCAAATCAATTTGTGAGGTTTTATAATTTTTTTTTAATTTTTTCTTAAAATCATAAAAATTAATTGTTATAGACCCACGGTGGTGGGGACGGAGACGTGAATCAAAATCTACCCGTGGGGCGGGAATGGAGATTAAAATTTTTCTCACTAACGGGGATAGATGAATATTTTTAAAACAGGTACGATAATAGAGACTACTCTCCCGACCCCTCTCTAATTCGTTATCATCCCTAATTCTCGTATCTCAGAGAGGCTCTTTGTCATAAAAAAGAATACAAATATTTGAAAGACAAGCTAACAGCATAGTTGTAAACTCCTAGTGGGCAATAGATAAATAGAAATCAGAATCGGAAGATATGGGGTTCTCGAGTTTGAGCCACCCATCGGACCGTCTGTCCCGAATCCATTTGATGAATGTGGGATCAAGGAACTCCATGTATATCAAAGGGAGAAACTTTATTTGGATAAAAAATATTGACACCTTCTTTTGACTCCTTTTATTATAATCATTGAATAATTAATAGATTTTAATAAATATTGGGATCCACAATTAAATCAATTACAGTGGTGTTGACAGCAAATGTTGTCAATTTTTTTGTCTAAGTAGTATTGCTCATACCCGAGAAGGATTAGGGGTCCTCTAAGAGGTTTGGAACAGTGGCAGTTGTGATAAGGTGGCGGCAGCGCTAGTGATGGTGAGACAATAACGGTGGTGGTAGGATGACGACAAAACTAATGGTGTTAATGGTGGGGGTGGGGGTGGTGATAGTGGGTATGGTGGTGGTGAAGGCTAGTGGTGGTAGGGTGGCAATAGCGGTGGTCATGGCGGCGATGATGATGGTGGGGCGATGGTGATGGTTGTTGGTGAAGAGGTGGTGGTGGGGTGGGTGAGGCTGTGGGTGTGATGGTAGAGTGGTGGCAACACTGGTGGTTATGGTAATAGTGGTGGCGATGATGGTGGTGGTAGGGTGGCGACAATTATGATAGTTACAGCAGTGGTGGTGGTGGTGGTGGTGGCAAAAATGGTGGTGATGTTGGTGGGAGGGTGGATAGTTGTAGTGGTGGTGGAGGGATGAGGGAATAGTTGTGGTGGTGGTGGTGGTGGGGTAGTGGGGGTGGTGGTGGTATTGGTGGGAGTAGTGCAGTTCTAAACACTACTTTTTTTTTTCAAAGTACTTATGAGAAGTTATAAATCTTAAAAATATTTTTAAAAAGTTACTCAAACACACCATTAGGGTTTTATTTTTCCTATTAAATTGGAGATATTAATATTAACCATCAGATTAGTTTTAAAATCAAATTTAAAGAGATCTTAACGACAAAAAGTAAAAGTCATTTTATTTATTTTTTAAAATTTAAATTATATTATACTTTATTATATAGATATAGAGAAGGGGGTAAATATCATATGCATTAGATGGTCTTTAAGAGAGCAACATACTTGACTCAAACGCATTAGATTGGGAATAATTTGCTAGAGAATGTCAGATTAGGAATTAGTTGTTCCCAAAATAATGTTCTTTTAAAAAACTAAATCCCAATCTGAATGCATTTGCTTGAAATGTGACTCGAACCTGCAACACTAAGGTGTGTACAAGACCCCTTGCCACTGGTGTTGAACCTCAGGTTCAATTGTACCTGCATGACTGCATCCTTACCATCTTCCATACAATCTCATGGTGAATGGCCATGTGGGAAATCAAAAAAGCCTACAAAATTTGCATGACTCCAAGATCACCAGTCTTACAATGACCTGATCAAATCCTTCAAGGCTGCAATCTCTATTTACCTTGGTCACATAACCCCACATGCCAACCAATCTGGTGAAAAAAAAAAAACAAGGAGATCCAAATTCATCAAACGTAGTAGTAGTATCCCATGAGACATGCACAAATGTAAACGACTTAAAATGAAGTTGACTGGAGTAACCTTGTCGGGAAAGCAACTCGCCATATAGTTAAGTTTATTCCTTATTTTTAGGATTTTTCTCACTTTGCACCCAAAAGATTTCTCGATTCTTACTTTATACCCCAAATGATTATTTTTCTCACATTGTATCCTTAATGTCATAAATTAATTTCAATGTGACCCTCAGATTAAAAACTGTTACAAATTTCATAAAAAATTGATCCATATGTCACTCATGTGCGTTGCTCTTGGACAAAAATATAAATTCATCATTCATATCCTTAAGTAACATTTGTATTAATTTTTAACAAAATTTGAAACAAATGTTAGTCTAAAAGTCACATTTAAACCAATTTATGACATTCAACGTACAATGTAAAAAAAATAATCTTTCGAAGTACAAAGTGAAAATCGAGATATTTTTGGGGTACAAAATGCAATAAAAGACCCTTATTTTTATCCCAAACAACACAAATCAGTCTCGAGTGTTTTGTCCAAAATTCTAAAATTAGTTTAAAAAGGAACAACATAAGGACATTTTCCCTTTTATCGACTCCAGCAAAAGTAATACAGACAGTGAACAACTAGAACTGTAGGAACCAACCTTTTCCGTTGACATCTCTCATAAACTAGATACTTTCATTTGTACTAGCAAGAGATTGAAAAAAAATAACAAATGTAGAAAAGAGAATTCTATGAAACGGTATAGCTATTACAATTTCATATTAATGGTTGTAAAAGAAGAATGATTAAAAACAAACATCATTTCCTAATTCAATATTGATCTATAGCCCATATGGTTTCCAATAAAAATAACAGAGCCAAATGGGCATAATCCCGTTTCAATAATAGCTAAGGAGCACCCTATCTTTACTCAAGACCTAATCCCCACCATTCCAACCCTTAAAAAGTTTCACAAAACAAACTATAATGCTATACAATTTACAAATTAAACCCGACCTCAACGATGCCCACAAACCGATCTATGCATACTTGGGCTCAACTTACGGAAAAGAAGCATCACCATCATAGTTGCAACTGTCCAGTACCTCTTTGAAATGATCTTGAAGATGGCCTGGTCATTTCTGGCACAAGCAAAGGCTGCCTGGGTTCTTCTGGTCTTTGTACCTCCTACATGGACATAAGCAACAATGAAATTTCAAGTGCAGTGAAGATAAAAGGTTAAACACTTGAAAGATGCAAATGTGTGTGTGCGTGTGTGTGTGCGCATGTCTACACCGATTGCTGGTGGTTTAAGAGAAAATATCAACCTTGATAGAGCACAACGGCATTGTTCGAAAAAGCCAAGCACAATGGTGGAATATAACCACAAATAGTTAAGTATAGAAATAAATATAACCAACATGGCAAACAATATGAATGATGATGATACGTCAATTAAAGATGCCTTCTAGTATCATGAATGAGGAACAAGCCTATTGTTCCCCTACTATTGTGGCTAAATAGTACAAAGCTAATCAGCAAAAGAACAAACTTTGAAGTCCAATCTACTGATTACCAATTATCTTTCGCTTTACTTCCCTCAACTGCTCCAAACCAGTTTAAATCCCACAAGAACTACCAAAATCTGGTCCAGATTTGACACAGGCATGTCAATAAGCCTTATGGGTTAGAACCTTACCAAGTGAAGCTAGCTATATTCTTAAAGTCCAATATATTTCATGCACACCTCAACTTATAAAACTTAGTTTCACTTATTAGCTCCTTGAGGATGATGAGAAATCCAAAATTTAAAAAAAAAAAAAAATCTCAAAGGAGAACAATATAATGAATTAGCAACATAAAAGCTCAAGAAACCTCTGTTGATGAAGTTGAACTGTAGCTCGACTGCAATTTTGATTTTGAATGGTTTTGATGCTGCTGCTGAATGAGCTCAAACTGTTGCAGCCTAGAAGTGAAGTTTATTCCATTATGCACATTATGTGAATCCTCATTCATGTCACCCCCCTCAAAGTTTTGTGATCCACCCTGCATGTAATTAAGATTAGGATTCCAAGATGATGTTCGCTTGAATTGCTCGCTGTTGAAGGAGTAGGAAGGTACAGTTTTCAATCGAGTCCATAGAATCTTAAAAGCTGCACTTTGCTGCATTAACAGAAAAAAAAAAAAAAAACAATTCAAATGAGGAACATAAAGTCAGCACTTGGATAGCACCATCAATAACTCAAGTTTTGAGGCACTTTAACATGGAAATTGACTTGCACAAAATTAACAAGCCTTGGAAACAATTTTCAAAGCCATGAAGAAAAATTTTGAAAAACGAAAAAAGGGCCTAGACCTTGGATTTTGAATTTTGAAATGTCAATCAGCTAGATTTCTTTGGCTCCACTCAATTTGCATATTTCATATTAAAAAACTTAAACTATTCCCACTTCCATTATTCAACAGCTGTTTTTACCCAGGGAAAGGGGTGGGAGAAGGTTTAGTTTTATTAATAAATATTAATCTTGATTCACTAAAATCCAGTATTTATTTGATGGCTTTCACTTTAATTTGACCATTTTTATCCACAAAATAGTAGTATGAATACAAGGGCATTTGTGACAAAGATTAGAAAGAGGGGCAATGACCAATTCATGCAAGAAACCACTTCAGGAATGTGCATTTCCAGTTGAAAAAGTTTCTACATGATCCAATATTCCACTTCATAATCAAAAACTCATACTAAAAGAAAAAAAGAAAGACATTCTGTATATCAAAATATCATGTAACTTCCTTGTCATGATTTAACCAAACCTAAATGTATAGTTTTGTTCCATCATACCATTGAGTTCTTTTTCTTAAAGGAAAAGAATTACTTCAAGCTTTCTAGGATTCCTTTTGCCAATTCAACATTTTCATAGTTCCTCGGACTGAGTTTATAAAATATCCAAATCCCATGATCCACCATAGCTTTTACATATTTAGAAACAGAAACAAGTAATTAACTTCAACTAACAGTACACTTTGGAAAAAAAATTATAAAAGAAGAATTCTATTATAAAAAGAAATAAAGAACCAAATACAATATTGAGGACAAGATATCCTCCAAAAAGAATAAAAGAAAAATACTAATGCAGAGCCACCATCAAATTCCTTTGCAAATCCGACAAAGGCAACCATCTAAAGCTTCGTGTGGTTTTCGACCAAAGTGAAGCCATTAAACAATTATTTCTCATACGAATTCGGAACAAAGATAACAATCAATGACAATTCTTGCATTCCTCTCCATCCAAATATACCAAAAATCATTGATAAGCATCTTTGCTTCCTTTTTCTTTCCAAAACCCCACAACTTAATCTCCAATATATTCTCCTATGTACATGGACAACCCAAGTTGACCAATCACCTTGAATAAATTCTTCCACAAACCCCGTGCAAATGAACAATGAATGAATAAATGAGCATTCAACTCTCCATTACTCAAACAAGTAAGACAAATATCAATGCTCAATGCTTTATAGTGCTTCCGCATCTGCAACAAATCGCTGGTGTTCCCCCAATTAAGGACAACTATTCAAACAAAAACCTTTATTTTTTAGGGGACTTTGGCTTTCCAAATAAATTTAGGTAAGGAGAAAAACTATGCTGCGAAGAAAATTTCAGATTTATCCACCATCCAAATCCTATAATCATAAGAATAACTAGAGTGAAAATTACAGAGAGTGAAGCAAATAAATCCAATCAGTTGATTCCCGATCATTAAGATGCGTAACGAAATAAAAATCCCAAGGCTAAGAAAAGAAAATACAGGAAACTCATGAAGTGAGGACAAACGATAAAGATGGGGAAATTGAAAAAGATGAGTCCCAAATCTATGTATCCTCTCAAAATAGAACTTAAGCTCCATCTCTAACTTTATATCGAGGTAAAGGAAGAAAAGAAAGGTAAACCTATGAAATGAACTTCCAAGAGTTGCCATGACTTACAACTCATTCCTCAAAAGGTCATTCTTACTCCTAATTATCTTATGCCAAAAAGAGTTAGGTTCTAACATGAACCTCCATAACCATTTACCTACGAAGAAAATGTTTTTAGACACCAAATTACCAAGTCCCAAACCCCTTCACCTATAGGCTTACAAACTATCTCTCAACTCACTAAATGATCCTGCTTATCATCTTCCATCTCAGACCACAGAAAATCACTCATCATCTTCTCTAATTTCCTAACTACTATACAGAGACAAACAAAATAAGGGAATGAGCGACAAACCATTTTTTACCAAAGTGATCCTTCTTCCAAGAGAAAAATATGTCATTTTTCAACCATCCATTATTTTGCTTATCCATTTAACAACCAGGTTCCAAAAGGACAATGAACTTGGCTTTTCCCCTACCGGTAGCCCTAAGAAAACCATAGGTCACTAACATAAAGCACAATCTCCATCTAAAGCAAAATCTTTGACAAACTTCTCCCCAAATTAACGCCTATAACTCCGCTTTTGAAAATATTAACTTTCAAATATGATAGTTAGCAAAAATTTTAATCAAGGAAAATACATTCTGAAAACACTCTTTATCTTATAAGAAAAAAAATAAGTATTATCAATAAACTGCAAATGCAATGCGATTATACCATCTCACCACCCACTCTCACCCCCTCAATCAATCCTACTTCCTCTATTCTAATAGTCATCCTATTTGCAATCAACCACCAATGTGAATATAAAAGGAGATAAAGGATCATATTGTCTTAAACCCTTGTAAGTAGTAAACCCACTCCCTAGACTCCTCATTAACCAACATTGAGAAAGTAGATGAAAAACAATCCCTTATCCACTTTCTTCATCTATCCCCAAAACCTTTTTTTTAACACATCACAAAATTCCAATTTATCCGATCACTCTTTTCATAATATCCTCCACCACTTCATTCCCCACTAAAGTTACACTTAAAATTTGTCTTCTTTGAACAAAAAACATTCTGAGCCATAGTTATTGTGTCTCTCATACATCACTAAGTCTTTTTGCCATCACTTTAGTAATAATTTTGTATCACCAAACTGATAAGTCTATAATCCTTAATCTTAATTGAGCGATCTGTTTTGGGAACCAACGTAATAAAAGTAGAATTAACACTTCTCTCCACAACACATTAGCAAAAAATTCATTTAAATCCAAACATAATAACACCCTTAGTTGTCCCCTAATTATTCTGATGAAAATCCATAGTGAAGCCATCCAGACCCGAGGCCTTTTCGTTATCCATATCAAAATAGCTCTTTTAATCTCTTCCTCTTCCTTAAATGGTCTCTCAATCCAATTTTCTCTCTCAGGTAATATAGGATAGTTTTCAATCAACACCCTACATAGTTGGCCTAAATGGAACATCATCAATATATAGGTCTTTATAAAACTCCGTAATCTCCTTAGGCAATCAGGTAATCAATGAAGGATTTGTTACAACCTCACCCAACTCAATTTCTATTTTTCTAATGACATTCTTTATCCTCCTATCAACTACCATTCTATGGAAAAACTTAGTATTGAAATCACCTTATTTTACCCATTTAAATCTCGTCTTATGCCTTCCAACTAGTCTCCTCCCTTATGAACACCTCCTCTTAATTCATTTCTTAAGAGAACCATTTTCCTAAATTGATCACTTGTCAATGTACCATTCTCCTCCAAGCTATGTAGCCCCTCAATTTCTCTTAAAATCAATCATTTCCTGAGTAAGACACCTCAAGAAACTATTTATTCCAAACTTTCAATTTTTCTTTCACCCCCTCAACTTTTTCATAAATTTCAAACTCTCACCCTTCTACATCACAACTAGACCACCACTCCTTGAACCTATCCCTAAAAGAACAATGAGTTAACCACATCATTCTTCGCAATTATTTGTATTTGAAAAATAATTCCGGAGGCATCTCTGAAGTAGATGGCGGTTGATAAACAAATCCTCGATCATGAAATGTCAATATATGAATTATTTCATTATTCGTTATTTCCAGGTCTTTTCATTGCATTCACTTATAACAAGAAACAACCACAAGTGTTTGGTGCAGCACCTGCATTTTGGTGCATTCTTCTTTCTTTCCTAAGTCTTTCGTTCTATCATATTCCTAATAACTTATCCAATTACAACATATTAACCGCTTGATAAAAAACCATTCTCCACAGAAATTTCTCATTTCTCAAGTTTAATTACTAAATTTTCTAGAGAATCAAGCCAAGAATCCCATTATTGATCGAATCGGGGCAGATCCAATTCATTGGCAATTGAAAAATCTAACTTAAACGATATAGTTTGACTTCCTTATTCTTTATACCTTTTAGGGAAACATGTTTTCAATTTATATGATGTTCATTGAGATGATTCAATTATGTCAAAAGAATATGCAAAATAATTTAAAATACTAACATGAGCTCAGGTTCTAGAAAAGGAAGTGATCAAAAAGGGTGGATTAATTAAGAAAGAAAACATCGAGATCTCAAGGTTTAACGGAAGGAATGCAGTTGAGATCTAAATGACTTAATACGGAAACAAGGATTTCTCTATCAGATCCCATAAATCTTAAGAACTTCTAATCAATAGAGTATAGACACCTAAATAGTAGTGGCACATTAATAGTTGCCGCATTACTTTAGGCATGGAAGTCTAATATAAGCCCCTATACACATGTGACCATGCAGTTGATCTAAACCGCACATTCATCAATCCTAAAAAGTTATCAAATATAAAAACTAAGAAAACAATCATGGGAAAATCAACCACGTGATCCACAAACTATCTCTGAGTCTAGAATTCATAAAATGTAAAAATGAAAGTAAAATTTTGGTTTCAAAAAAATTTTCACCCAACCTAGGGCAGCTCATATATTAGCAAATCAAATAAAAAGAATAATTCCCGACATACCTGGGGAAGCAGCATCAGAAGACCATACAAGGCTTTTAACAGCCATATGTACCTACTAGGTTCGAGGAGCTGCAATAAACAAAATAGTGGAGGTGTTCTCCGTAAATACAAATTTGAAGCAACAAATACAGAAGTCTACATAGACTGGAACATGTCGTGTGTAAATACAAATTTGAAACAACAAATACAGAAGTCTACGTAGACTGGAAGATATCGGCCTTATTGCACATGAACAAAAATAAAGAAGA